AAGTTAACCTTGGGCTCACGCCTCAGAACCCGACAAAATTCACAAAATTTGAACACCCATACAATAATGAGTCCAACCATAACAAAGTCATCCAATTCCGACCACAAATCCACCCTCAAGCCCCCAGTTCTTACTCTCCAATCCCTAGTCCAAATTTCACCTTAAAAGCACATAATCTAGGTGTAGAAATCAATGGGTGTTCAATATTATGGGACAAATGTGATCAAAAATAGCTTAGCTCTATGTTTGTAGTAAAATCCCTTACAAAAATCGCCCCTAGCCAAGCTCCACAAGCAAAAATATTAAATATAATCCAACCCTCGTTTTGAAATTTAAATAGTCTACCCAGTTGCCCTTCTTCGCGAACGTAGAAATTGCCTCGTGTTCGCGAAGCACAAGAATCCTCAGTTGCCAAATTCCCCTCATACGCAAACACGAAACTTATCTCGTGAATGCGACTACCACTGGACCAATGCCTACACGAACGCTACCCATCTTCCGCAAATGCAAAGTCTTGCTTGCCTGGTCCCCAGCCGACCTTATCCTTCTACACGAACGCGAGTCCCCTCTCGCGATCGCGATGCACAGAACACTAGACCTATACGTATGCGTGGCTTCCTTCATGAATGCGAAGAACAAAATCTTCCTGCCCTGAACAACTTTGCCCGAACACGATCTTTTAATCGAAAACGCGATAAAGACTGCACGAGACATCAAATCAGGAGTCCTAAAAGGCTAAAACTCAATCTAATCAATCTGAATCTCACACGAGGCCCTAGGGACCCCATATAAACATACCAACACATCTTAAAACATCATACAAACTTATTAGAAGCCTCAAATCACATCAAACAACATCGAGATAATGAATCGCACCCCAATTCAAGCCTAATGAAATATTGAACTTCCAATTTCTAAAACTAATGTCGAAACACACCAAACCTACTCCGATTGACCTCAAATTTTGCACACAAGTCATAAATTATACAGCGGACCTATTTCAACTTTTGGAACCAAAATTCGATCCCGGTATCAGCAAAGTCAACTATCGATCAAACATCTTAACTTTCTAAACCTTCAACTTTTTAACTTTCGCCAGTTCAAGCCGAAACGACCTACGAACCTCCAAATTAACATCCAGGCATGCTCCTACATCCAAATTCACTATACAAAGCTATCGAAACCATCAAAACTCTATTCTAGAGTCGTTCACTCATAAGTCATCATCCAGTCAACTCTTTCAACTTAAGCTTCCAACCTTGGGACTAAGTTTCCCAATTCATTATGAAACATCCCTGGAACCAAACTATCCATCCTGGAAAGTCACATAAACACAAATGAACATAGAATAAGAAATAAGTAGGGAAATGGGGCTACAATACTCATAACAATCAGTCAGGTCTTTACAAACCACCCCGCAAGTCACAAAATAACAAACAACTAACGGGGAGCATCAAATAAGGGAAATAGGGCTCAAATACACAAAACGATCGGTCAAGTCATTATAACTTCTTCAAACATGCAAAACCAATCATCATGTTAATCCGTAACTAGATACGGATGCAAAACTTTTAAAAAGGTGATTGCACCTTAAAAGGCAGCGTGCTAGCGTAAAAATAGGTTTCCCTGTAAACTCATCAAAACACATGAGCCATTTAAAATCTCATTATTCATTTTTTCATTTTGAAGGTGTTCCATAAATATTCACCGTGTATAATATGATAAAAGAGTTTTGGGATTTTCTCTAGCATCAGTATTTTGTTGTTGCAATAGAAAGCAGAAAGAATCACCATATCACATTCTAGTTGATAGTGATTTGGCTACATCATGTTTGAAATAATTCTTTGTATAGGGTAAAATTTGCTATGCCAGGTGGCTGCTTAAAAGAATGACACGTGGAACCTAAGGCGAGGGATAGCCATAACCATCCTCCACCCGGTAGCATTTGATGGAGAATATTCCACAGTACTTAATATTCTGCCCGTTACAAAAGGATATGGCATTCATGCCTACTGTTACACACTCTTCAATAGCCCTCATAATTGCATTGAAGAGGGGCTTGCTCCTAGGTCCTTATTCCCTAGATGTAACTATAAATAGTGAGCTCTATTACCATTATAAGGGGATGACCTTTTCTAGAAAACTCGTTATATTTTATTAAGATCTCTATACAATTTTACTTTCTTGGTCTTTAGTTTCATCACTGTTGTGCGCGAAAACTCTGCCCGAGGAATTACTATTTTTTCATGATTTCATCTTCATTTCAAGGCTTAGTATTGCATATTTCTTTAATTATTTCATCATCTTAGGATCAAATTAATTTACTTGTCTAGAAATTACGTATAAACTCAATGGTACCGTTTTACGGGCAAATAGTTTGGCGCCCATCGAGGGGCCTAGACAGCCGTGTAACTAAGTTGATCCTTGCCTCTTTTACTAATGTGTTTTGATTATCAGTCCAAGAAAAATCATAAGAAATGGTAGATAATAGTGTTAACAACACACACAACCCGAGGTTCAAGGAGACCAGCCTCATTTCGAGGATTCAATCAGTGACACCCACAATGAGGGGAACGGTGCCACACCGATCCACGATAGGTGGTACCCGCGATATGTTCGGGAGGAAACTCCCGATGATGCTGAAGAGGGGCATGTTATTGATGCGGTAAGGGTTCTATAAGAGAAACAAGCAATCATTCTAGGCCACCTCACATGGTAGGATAAGGTTATGACGGAGTTGAAGTAGGCATTATCGGTGGCTTCCAATAACGCGAATAGATAAGATCCAGTTCCTCCTGGCGCTCCCGCAAATCAAACAACGTAGAGGGTCCACAACAATACCCCGAGGGGTGATGTTGGTTTCGATGGGGCTGGGGGGAGCGGATCCGGCCCCAATAAGGAAAACAATCCCTTCAAGAATGAACTCTTACGGTTTATGAGAGAATTGAACTCCAGCATAGACCAAATCCCGAGCACACCACCGACACTGAAATGACCAGACTTAAAGAAGTATACTCAGTTGTCGTACAAACCAATCGCGACTCCAAAATTAATCCCGAAGCGGTTTGAAATGCCCGACGTGCCATAGTATAATGGAACTTCAGAACCTCAGGAGCATATTACCACCTATACAACGACGGTGAAGGGGAATGGCTTAGCTCCTCACGAGATTGAATCTGTTTTGCTGAAGAAATTTGGAAAGACTCTCATGAGGGGAGCCTTGATGTGGTATTCACTGTTACCCGAGCATTCCGTAGATTCCTTTGAGATGCTCGTAGATTATTTTATTAAGGCTCATTCCGGGGCCAGAAAGGTGTAGGCCCGAAAGGCCGACATATTCAGAATTGCACAAGGAGAATCCGAGTTGTTGCAAAAGTTTTTTACCCGGTTCCAAAAGGATAGGGTGTTTCTCTCAGCTATTCCGGATGAATGGGTGGCTGAAGCATTCACCAAGGGCCGGAATCAGAGAAGTTCAGATGCTTCCTGAACATTGAAGGAAAGCTTTCTTGAGTTCCAAGCAACAACTTGGGCGGATGTCCACAACCGGTACGAGTTAAAGATAAGGATCGAAGATGATCAGGTTGGCTTCCCGTAGTTGACAAAAGGACGGGAGAACAAAGAAAAATCAAAAGACGATTTGGACGCGGATAGGCAGTCTTTAAGTGGCTGATTTTTGCCCTACGAATGGATCGAAGGCTGCGGAAGAGGCTTCCGGTCAGCAGACAGGTTCGCTACCGATAGAAGGACTAATCACAGTCGGAACAATAGGTCGTTGCAGGACAAAGCAGCGCCAGGTACGCGGGATCCTTCCTACCCCAGGCTTTCAGAATACAATTTCAATAACAGCAAAGTAGAGTTGGTATAAGCTATGAGAAACATCAAAGAAGCACGATTTTTGAAGCCGATGAGATTCGATCCCAACAACAGGGATCCCAACTTGTGGTGTGTATACCATGGGACGAATGGCCACCGGACTAGGGACAGCCGACATCTCCGGGAAGAAGTGGAGACACTATTGAAGAGTGGGCATCTCAGAGAATTCTTAAGTGATTGGGCCAAGAACAACTACGGTCGCAACCGGGATAACACGGAACCCTGGAAAGCAGGGAAGATCCCCCACACCAGAAGATCAACATGATCTTCGGGGGGAACGAGATCAACGAGGTCACCTTCTCGACAACAAAAAAGATGAAAGTATTAATAACCCATAGCAAGAGACTCCGGGAAGTTGTCGAAGATGAAATCACTTTCACAGAAAAGGACGTAGATGGATTGTTGCTACCGCACAATGATGCACTGGTAATTTCTTTGAATGTGCCAAACTTTAAAATCAAATGTGTTCTAGTGGATCCAGGGAGTTTGGCCAATATCATACAATGGAGAGTATTGGAGAAAGCTAAACTCACTGGGAGCATCATTACGACCACAAAACTCCTCGCCGGATTGAACCTCGCGAGTGTGACAACTCGAGGGGAGATTTTGCTGCCCACAAACACCAAAGAAGTAATGAAAACGACTCTTTGTGAAGTGGTAGATGGTGATATGGGATGTAATATTATTCTGGGAAGATCGTGGTTGCACGAGGTGAGAGTTGTACCGTCAATATATCATTAGTTGCTAAAATTCCCAACGCCCGAAGGAATCAAACACATAAAGGGCGACCAACCGGCAGCGTGGGAGATGAATGCAATTTCGGTCTTCGGTAGTAAAGGGAAGGAACACGTGACATAACAACTACAGGAACCGGCTCGCTCCCGAATCGAATGAAGTGATCCAGCGGGAAGAAGCGTTGGAATCTTATCAGGTGCCAAGATATTTCCAGGTACCAGAAGAGACAGATGCACCAAAATCCACGGCGGAAGAGCTTGAACAAGTTGCATTATTCAAAAAGTTCTTAGAAAGAAAATTCCACTTGGGGACATGACTGCACCCCGAGCTCAGGTCTGGCTTTTGAATTTTTTAAATCTAATACTGATTGTTTTGCGTGGTCACATGCGGACATGACAGGTATCCCAACGGAGGTGGCCTTACACAAGCTAAGCTTGGATCCCAACATACCTCCGGTTAGACAAAAGAAATGCTCTATTGCGGAGGCCAGGAATAAATTCGTCAAAGAAGAGGTAACTCGCTTACTTGATATCGGTTCGATCCGAGAGGTAAAATATCCAGACTAGCTAATGTAGTAGTAGTTCCTAAGAAGAACAATAAATTTCACATGTGCGTAGATTATAAGGACTTGAATAAGGCATGCTCGAAAGACTCGTTCCCACTGCCAAACATCGATTAAATAATCAATGCAATTGCCGGGCACGAGTTAATGAGTTTCCTTGATTCTTATTCTGGGTACAATAAAATTAAGATGAACTCGGAGGATCAGGAAAAGACTTCGTTCATAATAAATTTCGACACATATTGTTATAATACGATGCCCTTCGGGTTGAAGTACGTCAGAGGCACTTATCAGCGGCTCGTAAACAAGATGTTTGAAAAACAAATAGGTAAACTATGGAAGTTTATATAGACGATATGCTCTTTAAGTCTTTGAATGTAGGTGACCACCTTAAACATATGCAAGAAACCTTTGACATCTTGAGGAAGCATAACATGAAGCTTAACCCCAAGAAATGCACATTCGGGCTCAACTCTGGCAAGTTCGTAGGATTTTTGGTATTACAAAGGGGGATTGAGGTAAACCCCGATAAGATTAAGGCTATCGAAGACATCCCAGACCAGTTGTCAAGCGTGAAAGAAGTCCAAAGGCTCACAGAAAGATTGGTCGCCTTGAGCAGGTTCATTTCCCGGTCGTCTGAGAAATGCCACCGTTTCTTCGCACTGCTCAAAAAGAAAAACAACTTCGAATGGACCCCGGAGTGCCAGTAGGCTTTGAGAGATTTGGAAAGATACTTGTCAAGCCCTCCGTTACTTTCAAAACCAAAGGAAGGTGAAACACTGTTAGTCTACGTCCCAGTCTAGAAAGTAGCGGTAAGTGCAGTTTTAGACCGTGAAGATGAAGGCATGCATTCTCCCATTTATTACATTAGTAAAATTTTAACGGGACTAGAAACTAGCTACTCGCATTTAGAGAAGTTGGCCTTAGCTCTCGTAGTCGCCGCTCGGAAGCTGAGGCCTTACTTCCAATGTTACCCGATAGCCGTGGTGACCATATTTCCTCTCTGGAACATCCTTCACAAACCCGAACTCTCGGGTAAATTGGCCAAATGGGCCACTAAAACGAGTGAATTCGATATAGAATATAAACCAAGGACTGCAATTAAGTCACAAGTCATGGCTGACTTTGCGGCCGATTTAGTCTGGGATTACTGCCTCTAGTAATCAAAAAGGCAGTAGTTGTGTCAGAATCTAAATCGCGAGTTTGGACATTATCTACGGATGGAGCCTCCAACGTAAATGTTTCCGGTCTTGGCATAGTATTAACGACGCCTTCGAGAGAAACCCTAAGGCAAGCCATCAGAATGGTCCCTTTAACTAACAATGAAGAAGAGTAATTGCAGGACTCAAACTGGCCTGGGTACTAGATTTCGAAGTCATAGAAATCAAGTGCGACTCTTAGCTGGTGGTAAATCAGGTCTACGGGATCTTCGAAACCAAAAAGGAGCGCATGCAACAATACGTGGTAAAGGTCCAGGCTCGATCTCGGAAGAGGTTGATTATTTCTATCTCGAGGAAAGAAAATGCAAAAGTAGATGCACTGGCTAACCTCGATTTAAAAACAGAAATAAAGGGATCAGAGTTCGGGACGGTAGTACAACTGATGCATTCGGTCCTGGATGCAGATAGCTACTACGAGGTAAATACGAGTAATTTGGTTTGGGACTAGAGGAATGAGATCATCGATTATCTCGAACACGAGAAATTGCCCGAAGATTCCAAGGCATCCCAGGCGCTATGTGTCAAAGCAGCACGTTATAGCTTTAAAGGAGGTCAATTGTATAGAAAATCTTTCCAATGCCCGCTGGCCCGATGTTTGGGAGCATCCGAAGCTAATTACGTTATGCGAGAAATCCACGAAGGGATATGCGGAAACCATTCGGGCGCAGATTCTTTAGTGTTAAATCTAGTAAGGCCATGATATTATTGGCCCCGCATGGAACAAGACGACAAAGATTTCGTACAAAAATGCTATAAGTGACAATGCTACGCACCGCTGGTACATCAATCGGCAGAATCACTACACTCGGTTCTGTCTCTGTAGCTGTTCATGAAATGTGGGATGGACATCGTTGGACCACCGCCGCTGGCTCCCGGTAAGATAAGATTTCTTTTGATTTTAATTGACTATTTTACTAATTGGGTGGAAGCAGGTCCTTATCAGAAGATCAGCTAACGCGAAATTGGTGGATTTATTGTGGGAAAACATAATCTGCAGGTTCGGAATACCAAAAGAGATAGCATTCGATAATGGGCCGCAATTTATTGGCGCAATGATCACAAAGTTCCTTGAAGATTTGAAAATAAAGAGGATTACATCTTCACCCTACCATCCGAGCGCAAATGGTCAAGCGGAGTCAACGAAAAAGTGATTATACAAAACCTCAAGAAAAGGTTCGAAGCGGTTAAAGTAAATGGCCTGAGGAACTACCTGGAGTTTTATGGGAATACCGAACAACGACCAAATCAAGCACAGGAGAAACTCCTTTTTCCCTTGTGTACGAAGCAGAAGCCTTAATACCGGTGGAAGTAGGGGAGCCCACCTTGATATACTTCCAAGCAAATGAAGATTCAAACAAAGAAGCAATGTTAGTCATCTTGGAGCTAGTCAATGAGCGCAGGGACTTGGCACATATAAGAATGGCAGCCCAAAAGTAGAGAATAGAGCGATATTATAATCGAAGATCCAACCTCCGTTATTTCAAAGTAGGAGACTTGGTCCTGAGGAAAGTATCTCAAAACACCAAGGAGTTCAATGCAGGGAAGCTAGGTCCAACATGGGAAGGCCCATACTGGGTTTCAACTGTCACCGGGAAAGGTTCGTACGAAATGGAGAATCAAGATGGAGAAATGTTGCCTAGAAATTGGAATGTGGCACACCTCAAGCGATATTATTGCTGACAAGCATCACTTGTACTGAAAGTATGTGCTGGAATCTTTTTCCCTTTGTCCGGTTTTTGTCCCAATTGGGTTTTCCTAGCAAGGCTCTTTAAGAGGCAGAACGGAAGCATACTCCGAAGAGAGCTTCAACAGTAGCAAAAGACCTTCTAATAGCAAGGCACACAAACGAAGAACCACGCGGACGGTTAGTTAAACTTTCGCTCGATAGCAAAATTCCTACTGGGAAGTTAAGTTTGCTCTCGAACAAAGGTTACCTAACCATCCGCAAGTGCAAACCACTAAAGGATTATTAGATAAGCTTTTGCTCAATAGCATAAATACCTAAGGGGAAGCAAAATTTGTTACCGAGTTGAAGATTGTTTAGCAATTCATTTGTGGGTTCCTCGAAGGTGCAAAACTTCCAGTGTTCCAATTTGCATTCTTCGCATTCGAATAGTGGGGGGAAATGATATGAGGATTTGGAAACAATGATTGCCACATCAACCGGGAAACGAAAACCGAAAACATAGTTGTATCATCGGGACCGGGGACTGCGCGGCCAGCCCCATAGAAACAAGTTGTACAAGATAGACACAAGTAATGGCAGTTTCTTTTTAGCATAACAAATGCTTATGTACTTTTTGAAAATAGAAGGAATAAAGTGAAGTCCTTTTATTTCTATCTTGTTTCTTGTCTGAACGATAAATTGACTTTGTCATTTGATAGTTAAACAAGTACTTCAAATGCTAGTGCCGTAATAAACAGGAGACGTCCTCTTCAAGAGCATCGTAAACATAAGAGGGACCTCTCATACGAAAACCCTCACGTTAAAGGGTTGATTTGGGAAGAACTTATGCCCTGAATCAAAATGCCTTCGGGAAAAATACACCTGAAGCCTTGCACAAAAAGACGCAAAAAGCAAACTTGCACAAACACTTACAAAAACCCTCACGTTAAAGGGTTGATTCGGACGAGTTTGTGCCCGAAATACAGATGCTTTTGGGGGAGAAATACACTCGAGGCCTTGCATAATCTGACGCAAACAGTAAAACTTGTGCAAAACACTTAAACAAAAAAAGAATACAATGGTTAAAACTTGAATAAATGTTCAAACAAAAGAACGTAGAAAGACTCATGCAATACTTGAGCAAAAGATGTTTTTATTTACAATAAACGTACTAAAACGGCACAAATACAAAAGTTGGAAAAAGAAAAGAAAAGCTAAACTACTGCATCTCTGGAGCCCGGAGGAAGAGAAATGTCCGCACCCCCGGGGGAAGTGAATAGATCCGCCGCCGGTTTGATATCTTGGCCTTCATCATTTTGGCCCTCAGCATCATCACCTTTCGGTTCCTCTTCATTTCCCGAGAATTCAGAACCAGAACCAGAATAACCAGAAGCATCAGGCCCTGCCAGGAGACCACTTTTAGCAGCTAACCCAAGCTCACGGGCCTTAGCAATTTCAGCATCAAAGTCAACGATACCAGATTTTGCCTCTTCCAAGGTTTTTCTCATCATGTTGTACATAACGTAAGTTTTCTCCACAACAAGGGAAGCCGTTCGATGCTTACGTTATTCTTTGAGTTGGGTTACCTCGGCAGAAAGGTTTTCCCAGGCGGATCTAATGGACTTGAAGCTAACGTCAAGTTCATAGACAGTAAAGCCGAAAATTCTATTATGCTCGATGGTCTTCTAATACATCTCCTCCAACTGGGCATATTTCATCCCTGTAGCAGCACGCTCTTCAGTCTTGGAATTCAAGGTTGCATCTAAATTGATCAATCTTTCAGCAAAGGCAGCCTCACGATCAGATGCAGCAAGAACGTCATTATGAACTTCAACACATTTGGCCTTAGCCTCTTCAATTTGAACCCTCAACGGGGTGATCTCTTGGCTAAGGGTCTCCACTTCTTTCTCACTTTGATGCAAATGAGCCTCTAACACAAAAGTCGCAGCAGCTTTGGTTTCCAGTTCCAAGAGGCGAGTGCAGGCTTGATCTCGCTCAACCAAAAGTTGATCCCGCTCGGAGGTAAGTTTCTCCTTTTCCCTAATCAACCTCTAAAGGCCCTCAAAACAATGAAAGATGGCCTACGAAATAAGAGGGGCAAATTCAGGATATTTTTAGGCAAAAATAGAAGATTTAGCAAAGAAAGTAAAAGAATCTACTGATGCGGCGTTGTGCATGGCATTGTGCGACAACCACCTCCTAAGAGAGCTTGTATCTTTTCCCAATCTTTCTCTGAAGCCAAAGGCTTCAGATAGTTAGCAAGTTCCACCGGCCGGGATAGCAAATTGCATCCGATGGAGACCGAGAGAGTAACGTTCCTCCTCCTTTGCGGATCTTCTGACGGGGCACCATGATTTTGCCCCAAATTTGCATAAGCTGGGACCCAGGGAAGAGGAACATCTTCTTCTCGGGCGGATGTGGCCGCTATAGATGATGTAGCAGTTGTTGGCGGAATAGTTGGTGAAGAAGGTGATGAAGCTGATGGCATTAAAGGATGAGAGGCAGATGCGGCGAACGCAGTACGGGTTATTGGTTGCTCATTAACTAAAGACGGCAAGGGCCCGGTACTCAGCATCATGGTACCGGGCGCGACGACTGGGATCGGGCAACGAGAGTTGGCATCTTCCACCATTTCAAACTCCCCCAAAATTCCGAGACATCGTCCTCGGTTGGTGTAACTAAATCAACAGGTTGAGCATCCTGTTGAGATGATAAGGATCGTCGTCTTCTATGAAGAGAAGCTTCTTCATCACTAGCTTCTCTATAATCGTCAATCATCATGGTGTCTATGACCGGCTCAGGCGGAGGGCTCTTCACCGCGATTTCTGGAGACGACTCGAGGGCAGAATTCTTTGCCCTCTTATTCTTTCCCCCGGCCACGGAGGAACGCTTTATTTTTGGTTGCTTGTTCTCCGGCCGGAGACTCCGTGATGAAACACTTGTACCCGAAGCAGTCCCGGAGACACCTGTTCGAGTAAGCGCCTCCTGAAGCAGCCTCATCGCATCAGCAGGATCAACCAAAATGTCCTCCTTGGGGGCGACAACCGAGTCCGCGGGTAGACATGATTTCAGAAAAGAGAGAGAACTGATCAATCAATTTCCTCACGTAAAAAACGAAAACGAGATGAGTCTAAATTACCATGATTTTTGGCCTTCCACCCATATTTGAGGGCCAATTCTTTCCATGTGCGGGTTTGAGGCATAGTGACGTCCAAGATTTTCCGGACCCACTGGTCCAAGTCTTCAACCCTAGGTGGAACTCATTGAGTTGCTGAAACAAACAAAGGAAGGAGGATCAATACAGATATGAAAAAATTTCTAATGAAAGAAATATTAAACAAGAAACTTACGAGTACGGTTCCATGATTCCGAAAAAGATGAAGCCGCTGCCGGAATGATATCATTGGTGGCAACTGCAACGAACCGTTCCATCCATCCACGGTCGTTGTCATCATCCATGCTAGATAATAGAGTATGGCGGCTATGTTTGCTAAAGTTTATCATTCCCCCGCGGAAGACTTTGGGGGAATAGAGATTCATCACATGGGCTAAAGATAGCTCCTCTCCCGTCTGTTGGCACAAGCGCCGAAGACAAGCAATTGTCATCCACACAGAAGAATGTACTTGTGCCAAACACACTTGGTAGTCGAGGCAGAACTCCGCAATAACAGAGTCAAGCTCTCCACTCAAAGAAAACGCTCCCAAAGTAAAAGGATACGTGTAAAAGCATTTAAAACCCTCATAACGTAGGTTCACTCGCTCGGTTAGACCAGGAGCAACATTGTCCAAATCATGACAGCGACAATCTTTCTTCACAGTAGAAATACTGGAAGCACGGATGGAAGAAGGGTATCTGCCAACGGCCCATGTGCGAGGGTTAGCCGAAGGAAATTTCTCTTCGAAGTCTTTTGTTGTAACAAGACTTCTAGGGTTGATGGAACCCACTGTTGGAGGAGCAGTGTCCTCAGCTTTGCTCTTGCTCTTTGAAGAGCTGGTGTTCTTTGAAGAAGAAGCCATTATATGTTATGGAGGAAGGAAAAACTTTTTCGTTTGAAGGAAGTTAAAGAAAGAAGAACAATAAAGAAGGGTTTAGGAAGTTTGGAGAGTTATGGAGTTTGAGTAAAGAAGATCAATGCATATAAGTAAAGGTTTAGCTAGCTAATTTTATGGTCATGATTACCTTGATAACCGGCAAAAGCTATGCTGAATTGTGGGATGACGCGTTTTCGGGGCATTAAATGCGAAGAGACGTGCGTCTAATAAACCGTCAGAAGCCTTTACCAGATGGAATCATAGTAATTCCTGCCAAAAAGAGTGTTTCTACCAATTTCCCGGTGACACAAAGCTATGTCACCGGAAAGCAGGGGGACTATCTGTATAGGGTAAAATATGTTATGCCAGGTGGCCGCTTAAAAGAATGACACGTGGAACCTAAGGCGAGGGATAGTCAGGACCGAAGGCAATTATCCTGTTTGGTACCGGAAG